AGTCAAGGGTCTTGTCCCAGTGGAGACAGATGGGGAAGTGGGCTCCAAGGCCACGGGCATGGAGTGGGGACTTCAGCTCTCTGGAGGGGCTGGGATAGCAGGGGGGCTTACAGGGGGGGGGGGGGGTTGCTGGGGAGGCCAGTTCCAACCCGAAGGGAAGTGGGGCTCCCTGTCCCCAGCCACCCACGCTGCCCAGCGCAGACCCCTGTGCTCAGGCTGTGTAGGGGGGCAGCCGATGCTTCCCCAGGATGGCAGAGGGGGGCAAGGAGGTCCTGCAGGGAAATGCCCCGACAAACCGGCGACCCCGGGCTCTGGCCACATGGAGGCAGTATGGTCATGCCCCAGAGGGACGCCAGGGCAGCAGCGGTGGCCTTAGACGTGGCTTGCTCTGCACTCGAGCTGCTCCTGGTGGGATGGGCCAGTGCAGGAAGGAGGAGGCTCCCAGAGAAGCAGCCCTGGAATGCTGTGTCTGCCCCAGCTCTCTCCTCATCCACTGGTCCCCTCTGCCCTGGTCCTTCATCTCCTGAACCCTCTTTCTCTGGGTGTCAGGAAATGACTGGGGTGGGGATGGTATCAGAGGTCAAGCATGGAGAGGGGATGGTGTCAAAGGTCATGAGCGGGTTAGGGGAGTTGTAAGGTGGGTGGGGAGGAGTCAGAGGTCGTGGGGTGGGGATGGTGTCGGTTGTGGGTGGGGTGGCGGTGCTGTCAGGGGTTGTGGTGGTGGGAGAAAGAAAACAGTCATTGAACGGATAACTGCCTGTGAGCTTCAGAGAGCATCAGGCCCTGCTGTTGGTCACGGCCCTGCCCCAGAGGGGTCAGCGTGCCCCCCGTCTGCCTCTGAGGATGGGGACCAGGCGGCGCCCAGCCTGCCTGGTGAAGGGAAGGGCATGGAGGGGGGCGGCACAGGAGGCAGAGCCGGGAGCAGTGGGGGTCACTGCCCCTCTGGCCATGAAGAGCAGCTTTGCCCTCCGCACTTTGGGAGTGGCCATCACTGCAACGGCCTTGAGCACCTCCTGCCTGTCTGTCCTTTGTGAGCTGAGTCATAGCTCCTGTGGCTGTGGAGTGGCCAGGACCACATCCGGGACACAGGTGTGGGTGTGTCCAGGGCTGGGTGTGGCGCCTCGGGGTTGGGGGGGGTTCTGTCCTTCCCAAACTGTCATCCTTGCCAGGTGCTGGCCTCCTCACATGCAGGGTCCTGGGAGGACAAGTGACCCCAGGAGAAAAGGGAAGCTCGGGTGGGAGTGGCATGGCCCCTCTGTTTCCAAGGTCCTGACATGGAGGGAGAGAGCAGGTGAGAGGGTGCTGGGGACGAGGCCTCCTGAGCAGCTGGGCTTGCACCTTTGTGGTCGTGGTGGGGGAGACACAGGGTCACCCGGACACCCTGTCTGAACAGGATGCAGCAGGGGCAGATGAACTGTGAGCTCAGGGGACACTGCCTGGGAGGCAGGGGCAACCTTCCTTCTGGTGGGATTTGGGGACTCTATGACTCCCCACACCAGGGCTCTGCTGGCTGAGTCCCTGGGACTTTACGGGTGGTGCCTCCTTAGGACAGGTCGTCCTGTTTCTGTTCAGTCCCACTGGCTGCCCAAAGGTCAGTAGAGACCTGAGACCTCAGGGACAAGCACAGGAGACAGCTGGGCGGGGGGGAGAGTGGGTTGGCCTGCGCCCATCAAGGGCAGTTGGAAGGAAGGAGGGCCAGGTGACACTTCAGTTTCCTTGTGGCATCCTGGGAAATAGCAGTAAGGAGGCTTCTCTTTCCAGTTGGTTCTGGTGGGATGGGGTGGGTGGGGTGGGACTCGTGCCTGCCTGGAGATATTTGTGGTGCTGTCTTCCCATGCAGGGGGACTGCTGGTTCTTACTAGAACGCTCTAAGCGTTCAAGGAGGGTCTGCAGAGCCCACATGCTCAGGGCACCACCCAGGTATGCCTGCCTGCCCACATCGCAGGGTCTGAGGCTTCCCCAATAGGCGTGGCCTTGACGCAGAGACCCACCTCACCTCTGCCACTCCAAGTACCCACCGCCACTGCCACATTACACCCATGATTACTTATTTTCTTTAACAGATCACAAAAGTGCTGTATGCTTC